GTAAAAATCTGCCTCGTCAAAAAACTTAATAAATAGTGCAGTATATAAAATGATCTGATTCGGATTTGTTTTTGTTTTTGTTTTTTGTTTAAATGCACTGTTTTGTGGATGCCGCGTAGGATGAATGATCCATTTATTTGGCCGGAGAAACGAGTTACATGACTAGCACATGCCATATTCCCAATAATAAGTTTTGGCATATCTGGACTATAGTTGTCCATCGTTTTTGAGTTTTTCAAGTTAAGAGCATTGGTATTTCATTATGATTATTGATTATGCATTTACATATAATTTTGATACACCACAATTTATCTCGTATTTCAACTTACCCAGTTGAGGTATCCATGGTCTAAAAAACTGGATCGGTTCCTGGTCCCGTCCTCACCCAAAAAGCGCCTGGCAAAGAACCGGTCTTTGACCAGTCGGACCCATCAAAACCTGTCAGTCGGACTAGTTTGATTTTTTTATTTATTTAAAGTTTTATATTTAAAATATATTTTCTATTAAAAAGTACATATTCCAATATTTTAGATATGTACAAACAATTATATCAACTAATTTAGGTACAAACAATAATATCAACTAATTTAGGTATTTATTTAAGTAATGTTTAATTAACGATGGTTTTTTATATAAAATTTATTATATAAAATATTTAAAACTATTAATAAATAAATATTGGTTCAACTGGTTCTCAGTTGCTGGTCCAACCAACAAAATTAAAATATTAGTTCTACTAGTTCGATGACTGGTTCGATATTAAAAAACTTGGTAACCTAAATTTATTGTTTATCAGATTTTGAATTTTCAAAAAATATGTGTTTGTGTGTAACATGTACATCTTTCGAAGAAACCAACCTAAACCCCCTATTGTCAATCGAATATCTAGACCTCTGATGATCGGCCATTAAAGTTTTCTGAACGCAAATTACATTTTTTAAAATTACTTATGAAAATTTTATCTGTTAATTTTTTATGATTCAAAGATTCGTTCGAGATGTAATATTTACATTTTTTTCGAAATTACACTATCTATTTTTCTGATATCCAACGTTTTAGGAGATTAAAACTAACTAAGATAAAATTGGGATAACAAAAATGAATTGTTGATGGGAGATATCTATATATGCAGTGTGTGAAATAATATAATACCTTAAAATAAAATTTCTACATTATCTTGTAAGCAGGGAATAGAGTTTTGTTGGCAAAAATTCAATTTTGGTCCTCTAAGTTGGTCATTGTCCATTTTTGGTATACCAACTTTTATGTTGCAATTTGTATCATTTTTGAAATATTACTCATAAAAATCAGTGCGTTATGTTGCAATATGTATCATTTTTAGGACATTACTCCCAAAAAATAATGAACCATTTTTGGGATAATGTCTCAATAGTGATACAAACTGCAACATAACGTACTATTTTTTATGAGGGGAAAGTTGGTGTACCAAAAATAGACAATGAACAACTTAAAAGACCAAAATTAGATTTTTGCCGAGTGTTGTCACAGTTTGATCCGGGTGTTAAACCAATTAGCGAAAATGATGTAGTTAGAATCCAATAAGCATACCCCCATTAATGAAAATGAAAAGCAGTGGATTGTCGAATTTAACTTTTTTGTAGAAGGAAATATCCCATCCTGTATTCCACCGCAATTCGGTTCTCAGCCATTCATTTTTTATCTGCGCGTTTCTTTATTATTTCATTCCCTTTCCAACAAATAATTGCAGCAAAGTGTCGTTATTTTGGAGTTGAAGAAAAAGTTTGGCCGGCAGCAAAACTTGTTTGACTCTTATAAATTTAGCTTATCTCTTGTCAATGTCTCTATCCATTACAAATTTTTACCACTCGACTTTTCCATACATTTGTCGTTTCCAACTCACCAAACGAACTATTAAAAAATTAAGTTGTATCTAAAGTTTTTCCATCAGCCCTCCCATGTAAATTACAATTAAATCTTATAAAATTGATATTTTGGTCCTATATGGCTATATATTTAGATCGTGAGCTACTTGGATCCACAAATTATGCAATTGGTCTTAATACGTTTGAATTTGTTAAAATTGGTTCCAGATAACATTGAAGTAGCTGGGAATGCTAGTGCTAATTCACATTTCATAGCTTTCTTATTAGTACATAGTTTGTAATTTTAACATTTGAATTGAAGGAATAGAAGCTTCCAAATTTTACAATGTTATGTGTCATTTGATATCCAATAAATTAGTATCATAGCTACAAAAGTAAAAAAATATTAATAAAAAATACAGAATTAGATAATAAATAATTGATTATAAAAATGTTAAAAAGGAACATAATAAAGGAAAATATTACAATCCATTCTTGGGGAAGCCAACGTTTCATTTATATTTTCCGCCCAATGAAATGATGTCAATGGCTCAGACACGCCTTTTGTTGTGGTGTCCCTTCAGACCTTACAAAAAAACAACATTTATTTTATATATTAATAAAAAAAAAGGGTAACCACTCCAAGAGTAGAGTATGAGTATATATAAAGGGCAATGGCCAATGAAGCTGAACTCTTAGATCAGCTATAGTATTATTCTTTCTTCTTTGTGAAAATTGGAATGAAGTGGGAATTAATGAAGAAGATATACCCCAACGGGAATGGGTTCAGCCGGAGCCCTTCCCCTTCTTCTTCTTCCGGTTGCAGCGATGATGATCCAATGGTAGTCCTAACAGTATGGAAGAAATCGTTGGTTCTCAACTGCGAGGGATTCACCGTATTTGATGCCAATGGGAACCTTGTCTATCGGGTTGACAATTACATCAACAGCCCTCGCAGAGTTGGGGTATCCAATTTCAATGAGATCTTCCTTATGGATGCCTTGGGAAACTCTATTCTCACCATCCGCCGCCAACGCAAGGTATCATTATCAATCAATTCTGCTAATTAATATGTATTATGTTTGTTTTGACAAGTTTCATTAAAATTGCCCGAATGTACAGAAGCTGGACAGCAGCAACTGGTTTTTGTACGACGGCGAGACCACTGATAATCCGAGGTTTACGGTGATGAAGAGGAAAAGTATCAACAGCAGCAGGAAATGGGCGGCTCATGTCATCAGCAATGATAATAATAATCATAATAATTATGTGATTGAGGCGAATCGCTGCTGCTGCAGTGTGTATGATGAGAAGCGGAGGAGGCGAGTGGCAGAGCTGAAACCCAAGGAAACTTGTGTCAAAGGCCTCGCTTTTGGTGCCGATGTTTTCCAATTGCTTCTGTTCCCTGATTTTGACCCCTCGCTTGCCATGGCAATTGTTATCCTCCTCGATCACATGTAAATATTTTGTTGTAATCATCTAATTCAGATGTTTTGGTTTTTTTTCATTTTAAATAAAATAATCTCCAGCTCCGGACCCATAGCTTACTAATCTCTCCTTGAAATACATAAAATTTTCATGATTTGGAGATGAGATTAGGGTTGAGTTAGAGAGGTGCAAGTGTGTTCGATTTTGACAGATTTTTTTATGCTTAAATATTTAATTTAGGTTGAGTTAAATTATACAGAAGATTTTACATTCTGATTAGATACTCTGTATATTTATTTTCTGAAAATTGATTTTCAGTGAGTGAGAAATAAATTAATAAAGATAGTAATTAATTGATACGTAAAATCTTGGTTGTAGGATTCGACTTAAGATTATTTTTGGATAGCTCACAACTATAACAAAGATATGCATCATGTGTTGGTGATGGCTTTAGCCACACACACGTGCGCCTGTCGGCTTGGCTCACGCCTTGTACTCAGCAATTGGACTATGGGCTGGACATAGGCGGCCTTGTACGGTCTGGGTCGGTGGGCTCAGGCCTTCTACTCAGCAATTGGACTATGGGTTGGACTTAGGCGGCCTTAGACGGTCTGGGTCGATGTTGGGCTTTGGTGTTGGATGATCTATACATGTAAAAATTAAAAAATGAAAAAAAAAACTCGTAAATAAAAATTAAAAAGACCAAAACAAAATTTCTTTTGTAACAGTACACCATTATTTAATATGTATTATAAATTTTGATAGTGAAAATTCAATTTTGAGATCGAAGAAAAACGACTTAAATGGCGAGTACACTAGTACGCGCAAATTCAAAAACAAAAAAAACTCGTAAATATAATTGTTAAAAAGGCTAAAACAAATTTCTTGCCACAAACACCGTTATTTTATGTATAATACAAACTTAGATGGTGAAAATTCAATTTTAAGATGGAAGAAAAACGGCTGAAAGAGCATGCACAACTGTACACTAAAAAATACAAAAGAAAAAAAAATCATAATATTGGTTAAAAAGTCTCAAACAATTATTCTTTGAAAAAGTACACCAATATTTAATGTATATTAAAAACTTTGATGATGAATATTAAATTATGAAATGGAAGAAAAATGACTGAAATGGCGTGTTCTAATGTACACGACCAAAAGGGCGTGTTCTAATGTACACGCAACAATTAAAATGAAAAATTCACAAATAATGGTTAAAAGTCCCCAAACAAAATTTCTTTCGCCAGTATACTATTATTTAATGTATATTGCAAATTTTTAGGGTAAAATTCAATTTTGAGACGGAGGAAAAACGACGGAAATGGCGTGTAGTAATGTACACGCAAAAATTTAAAAACAGAAAAATTCATAAATAATGGTTAAAAAGGCTCAAACAATATTTTTTCGCCACTATACACTATTATTTAATGTATAATATAAACTTTGATGTGAAAATTCAAATTTGAGACGGAAGAAAAATGACTGAAAGGTTGTACAAGCAAACATTCAAAAATAAAAAAAACTCGTAAATAATGATTAAAAAGGCTCAAACAAACTTTCTTTTAACACAGTACACCATTAGTTAATGTGTGACGCCCACTTATTGTTCCTTTAGAAAACACTCAGTTTTCCAAAATAAATTGAATCTTTAAAATATTTTTGAAATTAAACTCTTTCGGGCATTACCCAAAAACTCTTTCTTTCTACTACTTGAGTCAAAATAAACACATTCACAAAGTCTTGAAACACACAGTTGAAAATCCGGAAGCAATAGAATAGTTAAATAAATACTTCGACTACCCTCGTCTCCTCGTGACCTCCGCCGGCTACTTAATTTGAAAACAATTAATGTATGAGGGTGAGCAAACAACAAGCTCACCTGGAAAAACTATGAAATTATGCAGTATATATACTGTCTCCATTCATTAGTCGTTTCATGTATACACATCTTTACTGTTGGCTCGCCGTCACATAGGCGCTCAACAACAGGAACTGAAAGCGCCACACAATCATATGCACCACACAGTCAAATTTATCACTCACACAGCATAAGCATAGATTAATACACATACATCAACTGTGAAATCATGCAATTATAAAACATAACGGCATAGTCACCCACACCAAAAATTCAAGGGTCTCACACAAGTCTAGGTAAATCTCAAGAGTTCCAAGCCCACACTTTTCACAAGCTTTACTCAAACTTAGAGATACAAGACTTTCACTATAAAAAGGATCTTAATGCACGAAGTAAAAAGAAGATTTCCGAGATTCACTTATCTTTGGCAATCTACACGCACAAGAGGGATCAGATCTGAAATTTAGAGGCCTCGGTCGCGCGTAGATCCTTGGCTGCTCGCGTGTGGCCTCGGTGGCTGAACGGACACAAACAGGGGATCGCTGGCTCAACGATTGCGGACGAAGGCTCCTGCGGCGGCGTGCGGTGCTCGCAGGATACGATGGCTGGCTGTCGGGGCGCGGTTGTTCATGGCGGTGGCTCTCGCTGGTCGCTCGCTTCGGCTCGCGGTTTCTTGTCACGTCGGGAAAGTCGGACGTGGATTTTGAAAGTGGTGCAATGTCATTTCCATCCATATTTGCTTGCTGTAGGGCGCTTCTCTTAGATGGTCTCCACGAGGATCTGAACCATGTGAAATGTAAACCTTGTGTCGAAGCTGATGGCCGTCCAGATGAAGAAGTAGCTGGTGGGTATTGGAAGAATCATCTAGCTCGGAATGACTCTATAATTGTTGATATCTGTCAAGTAAGTGTCAATTTGTAATTTGTTTCATTTATGTAAGCAGTTGTCCCTTTCTAGAGATATTATTTGTTTTTGTCATTTGATAGTTGAAAGAGCTGAAAGCTCTTATTAGTGGACTTGATATTCATTCTATCTTTTCTCGACTACCTGAAAATGCTTGTCTACTTAGCTATTTATCTTCATCAGATAATGAAACCCGATCGATATCCATCTAATTTTTGGATCAGTTCCTCCAACTTAATTGTATTTTTTTAATTATCTTTTCAATTCTATTTACTAAAATCTGGTGGATTACTATTATTGCAGGGCCGGTACAGGTCCACATTAGCATGCAAGATTTGTTGAAAGGTGTCTGTTACTTTTTACCTATTTATGTATCTCTCTTAACCTCTGCCGTCATCATCTATACGGACAATGACATTGACTGAGATGAAAGCTGATGGCAGCAGTAACCCATCCCCGTTCACTGTTACTGTGCCTAAGAGTGGGAAGTTTGAAGATTTGAAATGAAATCTTTTTGGTGGCTGAGGTGACCATAGTAATTACAATGATACATTAGTAGTGTCACAAGCCAGTATAGTTTCTTGTATAGTTGTATTATATTTATCATTTTTAAAAATATGTTAAATTTTAAAAAATTAAATGTATATGTATATATGTCAAGTTTTTAAGATACAAGACAATAATAATGACTTTGAGTTGCAATATTAATATCTGTTTTTGTTGTAAATATTTTTATTTTCAATAAAACTTTTACAGTATATATTTGTGTAAATTAATCATACTAAGACTTTAATTATAAACTATTGTTTTTTTATTTATCTGTATTGAAAGTCATAAGAAAAAATATTAAACTTTTAGTTTTAAAATTGATTATTCAAGTATTTGTCCTGAGACTGGGCTAATGGGATGACAAAGAAAAAGGAAAAATTTACATATTTATACCATATATAAAACTTATTTTCATATATACAACTGGTGAGAAATTTTATCAATTAAAGATTTTGGAGTATAAGTATTTTCAAGATTACGGATGTTTGTAACTTTCCAAATAACTTCTCCGTCTAATTAAAGCGGAATCAAAACGGATAAAAATTTTCTTTTACCAGGCACACCCCCTCTAAAAACCCCCCGTCTAGCCGTACCTCAATTCCACGCCACCATAGCTTTCCCCACCACTGATGTTGTCGTCGCCGCCGCTTCACAACCGCCTTTGCTCATGAAATTCAACATCTTGCCCCTCTCGTCGAGCACTCTCCTCAAATCCTTGACGCTTGCTTTTAAATCGGTCTCCACACCCACAAAATCATCAATTTTTTCTTTCAGATACGTAATCTTCTCGCCTGGAAGGTGTTCTGGGACACGCTGGACGAAACAGGCCGCAAGATATTAGGCCTGTGCATCGCTGGTGGGCTAGAGGACGCCAAACTGGCTCGCGGGCTGGGACCGGGTTTCACGGGATGATGCTGCTATTGGCCACGCCTGTGCGCGGCTGCGGCCTGCCAGCGCCCGCCTGCCCGGCCACCTTGCTGGAACGTCTTCGATGATTTGGAGTAGTATCCACTTCTCCTCCTGTTGCCACGAGTGCCAGTGACTCACTATTTTGATTACGAGTTGTCCAGCGAGTTCGTGGCCGAGTTTGGTTATTATTCGATTAGTTCTTTGTGTTTACAAATCATTGTAATATTTGATAGTACTTTATGTTTAATTAACGCTATGTTTAATCCCTTTTCATAATTGTTTATATGTTGTTCATCTTATGTATAACTATTAAGTTAATAATAGAGAATTGTCAGATAATGTTTATCTAATGTATATATACAGTATATCTAAACATATATTTGGTGGTTGGATGACTTTTTTTTTTGAATTCAAAATGTCGATTAACCGAATTTTTCCTCTACCGACTTTTTTTCTATTCCCAATCGAGATCGTAACTTTTTTCTACCGAATTCAAATTGTTTATATGTTGTTTATCTTATGTATAACTATACGATTAATAATAGAGAATTGCCAAATCATGTTTATCTAATGTATATATATAGTATATCTAAACATATATTTCATGGGTGGACGAATTTTTTTTTTTTTACGTTCAGAGGTAAAGATGTTCATGTGTCTTAGTGCTTCATTTAAAGCATGGAATCATTGTAGAACTATTATTATTGTCAACGACACTTTCCTTAATTCGGCGTATGGAGGTAGGGGATTTCAGAGGGAGTTGCTTTGGCGGTGGCAAGATGGACTTTGTTTACGGCCACGTAACTGTAACGGTGGGGATTTCAGTTCGAGTTATCTGAGTTTTGACACTGATTTGATGTTTGGTCTCAGAAAGCAAATCTTTGTCAAATAAAATCAATATCTTCGTCAATGGCTTGTGTGTGATAATATTTTGTTTATCTACCGTTTATGTTTTGTATAACTTATTATGCTTATGTGTGATCTGATTTTTTTTTTTATTTAACGTTTATGTTCTGTATATAAAAATGACGGGAATAAGTAAACAAATACAAGCAATATACTTCAGTTTACAAAAGTATATATCATGTTTCAAGATATATGTAATACATACGCAATATATATTGTTGTTTATACGTTAGCAAACATATCTTTTAGGATATAATTTGTTAAAATTCAGATAAACATGATCTGACAGTTCTCTAATATTAACCGTGTAGTTATACATAAAATAAACAACATATATACAGCTCAGAAAACGGTATAAAACATAATACACAATCTTGAATGACTGTAGAATTCATATCGAATATAGTTATACATAAGATAAACAACATATAAACAATTGTGAAACGAGATAAACATAATACACCGTGACATTAAAAAAAATGAGATTCTAAAAAAACACGACATATGTAAATGACATTAAATTAAAAAATACATAAACTTCTACCGGCGCAGCTGCCGCCAACCGCACCGCTTTCACACTGCCGGGCCGGGCAACCGCGCACTCATGTTAGGCGAGCATCACCTTTGAGAGCCTCCGTCAGTTCGGGCCTCGTGCGTTGCACCGCCGCTCGTAGCCACACCGAACTGGACTTTAATGGATCTAAAATCGAAAGGTAATTTCTAAAAAAGTAGAGATGATGGTGTCTGTGTATGTGTGTGTGTGTGTGTGAGAGAGAGAGAGAGAGAACGGTAACTTCGGCCGTCGTGGGAGTCAGTTTCTTGAAACCTCTCGGATCTTGAATTTTCTGAAATAAGAGCTTCTTTTGGATGACCTTACGCTTGAGTGCTTGAAATTGAGATGTTCAACGAGATCGGGAGCATGTTAATCTTGCTTCGTTTTCACTGTTGACGGATTTGGCCTCACTTTCCTTTTCTTGGCCATTGAAGATTTATGGAGTCTGTAGTGTTTTTCTTTTGTGTTCAGGGAATAAGTTCTTTCAATGTTTTTGTGAAGATGTTACACGGCAGCCGAGGGTGTGAGAGAGAAAAATAATATTTTTTTATTGATTTAGTGTTGTGTGTGGAAGAGGAAAGAGAATATCACTGACCGCGCGTCGCGACACGGTCAAAAATAATAATAAATTTTCCTTAACTGACTTCTACCAACTAGCAGTAGTAGTGAGCAAGGGTCGAACCCACAGGGAGTGTGGAATTTAATTGTAATTATTTTCTTTAATTAAAATCATGAAAATACTAATAAAAAGGGGTTTTGGTATGAATTAATTAACTACTACAAATATGAATAATATAATGAACTTAAATGCAGCAAATAAACATGATTATCAAATAAATGGGGAAATATCTAGTCCACGGTTTCATCTACACCCTCGACTGACTCGTTTAATCAATTTTAGAATTAGATTTCGCTATCTCATGGAATTACTAGCCCTAGATAACGACACGGTCTGTTACCTGGATTTTTCCTTATTTTTAATTTAACCGCGAGATGCTCGACGATTAAACCTGACTTCTTGTACAGTCCGGAAAAACGTTTTCAAGATTTAATGCAATTAGCCGCTTTACGATTTAGAAAAATAGGCTAGACTAATTAGTGAACTCAACCGCGTTCGTTCACTTAAATAGGCCGTGTTATCCCCGGTAGTTACCATCTTCCGGTTACCTCTTATGAATTAAACACAACAACAATTACGGATGCAGGTTTAATTCAGATGTAGATATGAAAAGCCTAATCTAGGTGATCAATCTAAACAAGACTAACACATCATGGTGAATTATTCAAAATAACACAAGCAATTCCAAAAAGATATTAAAATCCTCAACTATATAAATTAATCAAAACATAGTCAATCGTAGGGTTCGACTTCCCCGAAACTAGAATAAAAGAACTACTCACTCATAGTGTTCGAAAACATAATCATCAAATTAATTACACGAGAAAGAAAAAGAAGAAGTAAAGAAAATATTATTCTTCTCTGTCAAGCCGGTGCCCACTGCGTGCGATCCTTTTTCTGTCTTCCCAGTTCTCTGCCCCAATAGGTCTCAGCCGCAACGTGTAAAGATCAAAATCCTTCTCCAAGAAAAGTCCAAAATATATCCTTCCCGTCAATTTTGGCAACAAATAAAATAATCGCATCTTTGACTTAATTCTCTCCTCATGAAACCCACATACGTGGCACAAATTCTTCAAACACAAACATGGGCCATTCCACATATTAATTCCCTAGGCCCACTTCAACTTTAATACTTGCGGCCCCACTTGTAATAAGTTCATGGCCCACTATAATTTGATTTCCATGGGCTAATAATTGCATGAGTCTGCTACACGCAGTACAGGGTCTACTGGTTCAGTATGGGACACCCCCGTACTCTGCTATTCAGCCTCATTTTCACTCTTGTTCGTGCCTCCAAAATCATCGTGTCTGGATATAGCCTCAAAAATGCTGAAAAAACTAAAACCCTCATCAAGGCACGAGAATCATTTAGAGCATCAAATAAGTCGAAAAACGTATAAATGCGAGGAATTAAATGCGCACAATCACAATATTAAACGGTTAATGCAAGCACGTTTCTCGACTAATCAATCACTCCTCCCGATTATCATGGAATGAGATAACTACCATTAATTAAATACATAGTTTGTAATTGTGATGAAAAGATGTCCATATCATATTATTAATATTATTCAGTAAATCAACAGTAAGGGAGGTAATTTTCTCTTAATACAATGATGCAACGCCTGGTTGCTTTGAGCTAACATAGAAAGTGGGCCCGTTAGTAGCCCAATAAATTGGGAAAGCATTTCATCCCACATCGGGAAGACAATAGAAAAAAGTAAGCTATTTAGATGGTTTTACAACCAATTTTGAACATGACCTGAACTAGACTGCTGGGCTTGGAAAATCGTTACCGGTTGAACGGTTTTGGCGGTTTTTAACCGGTTCAAGCGGTTTTCATCCGGTTTTGGTTTCTAACGGTTTTATACATCAAACCAGACCGGCATAATGGTCGGTTCCCGGTTGAACTGGTCAAACCGGCCTCTCAAGAAAGGGAAATAATATTTAGTATTTTTAATTCATTAATTTATTACGTGTATAAGCTGTAGTCTTGTATACCACAATAATTTACCACTAGTACAATACCCGTGTATTACACGGGTGCTAAACTAGAAAGCTTTTGCAAAAAAAAATTATATTTTTATTTTTTTAAAAACTAAAATAATTTAATTATATAGAAAACATTACTTTGGGTTTTAATTAAATTTTCAAATTCTATTTTTTAAACATAATAATTAAACACCCGTACATTAAATGAAAATGTCAACCCGTGTTAAATTTTTTTACTTATATCATATAAAAACATCAATATTATATACTATTACATAAGTACAAAAATATATATCTTAAATAAATAGAAATAATATGGTGATATGTATATGCATAAGTGTAGAATGTGTTTATTTAATATTAAGCAAAATAGATTAATTTTTTTTACTTAATTAGATGCCTAATACATCAAGTGCCGTATCAGTCGTGCTTCACAGTTTTTTTAACTTTATATGTAATTTTAGAATTTAGAAAAATAATTATTTATTTTTATTACATTGACAACATACCAATTCGATTTGAATTTAAATATCATTTTAAAAGAACACATACCAATTTATATTACTTTATGGTATAATTTATAGTTTTATTTGATATAATTTAATTTAGTTTAATACATAAATTTAAATTTTATTTATAAGGATATATATTACTATTTTATATTATATATCATTCAAATGCAACACACTAATTAAGATTTTTTTTTTCTTGACAATACTAACCCTATTTAATGGATGTTATGGGAAACGATGGAGATGAGATATGAAGAGACACTGTGTATTGTATTAGATGGAGGATTAAAAATGGAAAAATATGAACAAAACATCTAAAACGACATTTATTTTATCAATGATCAATTAAGCCAAAGTGACAAATAATAAAAATAGTAGGGAGTATATATTATTATATATTTTAGTATGACACATGTTAATTATGCGACTTATATTATAATAAATTTTCTACCTTATAACATATAACTACATTAAACATAAATATTTTAATTGATAAGTAATTTTATTTTCTAATTAATTTTGATAAATAATATTATTATTATTATAAAGATAAATATAATTTATTTATTTATATATACAATATGGATGTCAAATCGAAACTCTTCAAAAGATGATTAATTTGATATATTATATATGTAAAACCGATACGAAATTAAACAGTTTTCAACTTTTAAAATATATTTTGCAATTCAATGGTTATAATGGGAAATGATATCAAAATACAATTAATACAAATTATTAATTTATATCCAAGCCTAACTCCAAAGCATGATTTTTTGCCAAATAGGATTCTGAAGCATGAGAGTTTGCCACGTAGGCTCAGCGCATTCTGAAATTATATGTAGAGGGGAGGGGATATTTCATATATTTTGAAAATGAAAAAAAAAATTAATAATATTTTTAAAATATTTTCAATTTCTGGTTATGGATTTATCTATTATTAATATGTAAAAAAATACTAGTACAATTCCCGTGTATTACACGAGTGTTGAATTAGAAATTTTTTATAAAAATATGAATTTTTTTTAAATCATATTTTATTTTTTTAAAAAACTAAAATAATTTAATTTTATATAAAACATTACTTTGGTTTCAATTAAATTGTCAAATTATAATTTTTTTAAGCATAATAATTAGACACCCGTACATTAAATGAAAATGTCAACCCGTGTTTAATTTTTTTTACTTATATCATATAAAAATATTTACTATTACAGAAGTACAAAAATATATATCTTAAATAAATAGAAATAATATGTTGATACGTATATGCATAAGTGTAGAATATGTTTATTTAATATTAAGCAATATAGATTATTTTTTTTTTACTTAATTAGATGCCTAAAACATCAAGTGTCGTATCAGTCGCGCTTTACAGTTTTTTTAACTTTATATGTAATTTTAGAATTTTGATAAATAATTATTTATTTTTATTAGATTGACAACATACCAATTAGATTTGAAACAAATATCATTTTAAAAAAAATGCATACCAATTTCTATTAGTGTTTTGTATTATATATATATATAATATAGATGTTAAACCAAAAATTGTTAAAAGATAATCTGAGTTTGGTCTGATTAATTATAATACTTTTTTTTTATTTGCTAAAAGTATCATTTTATTGATCTTCCATATCCGACAAGTCTCAAATGCCAAATATTTATAGTCGAAAGTTATGTCTTACTTGCGAATTTGAAACGTTTAATAATTGAGCATTATTTAAAAAGTACTCACAAACTTAGATACATAAACAATAATAGGTTAATTTATTGCTAGTTTGCTACAATTAAATATTATATATTTGAAGATTACTTAGGTCAAACTCTAAAATGCGGAGCAAAACATTCGAGATTAATGGATTAAGGAATATATTATTATGATAAATATGTTCCTAATTTTAAGGCATGAAACTCCGCATTGTAACTACTTTGGAAAGAATATATTATTATGATGAAAAATATTAATTTATATCTAAGCATAACTCCAAAACATGATTTTTTGTCAAATAGAATTTCGAAGCATGAGAGTTTGCCACGTAGGCTCAACGCATTTTGAAATTATATATAGAGAGGATTACTTGCTTTTATTTATGTAATTGTTTACCTTATATTATTATTACTTGTTGTATTTATTTATCTGCTTACCTTTATGTAATTGTTAGTTTGTCTTTAATTAATTTTGTGCCGTCATTATTTATATATAATAGTATTTATTTTATTATTTGTTTATTCGTTAAACGAAAATCTTTCATTTTCGATCTCAAGTTCAGACGTCTCTCGACCCACTTTATTTAGCTAAAGTTTGTTTCTTTTTGAATTTGATTACTTTTTGGCGCTTCTAATTATTATATTTTTCGGTCTATCTTTAGCTTACAAACCGGCCAAACCCTAATTTTCTCCCCTCTATTAAAGCCGAGAGCGAGAGATAGAGAGCGCCGCAATCTCATTTCTTCTTTCCGTTCCAGAACTCTGCAAATCGCCCCTCATCTCCTACCTCCTCAAAATTCCCCTCGTCTCTCTCCCTTCTCGGCGGAAACGAGCAGCAACAGCGAGCCTCATCTTCCTACGTCGCAGCCCAGCAACAATTCCAGCGACCTGAAGCTTCAGCTCTTCCGGCAAGATTAGCGCGCGACTGAAACGACCTTGTGCTGCTGAGCGATTCCGACGACGCCTCCTCAAGCAACCGAGAACCCTGCCGTCCCTGACCAAGAGCGGCAGCCGCGTATGCCACGCCGGCGACGCCGTCGGAGACCAGCGAAGTGGGGCCGCTGCCACGTTCGACCGACGCCGAGGGCAGCCAATTTCTGTCTGGAGACGCGCAAACCGCTCGCGAGCCGTCCAGGGGGAGCCGCCGTCGTGAACAGCCGCGCCCCGACAGTCAACCATCGCCGTAGAACCACCAGCGAACCCCGATCACATCCGACCAGACCAATTAACCTCTGTTCGCGTGAGCAGCCAGCCGACTTCCGCCTGTCACGCCGTTCAGCCACCACTAATCGCCGGACAGAGGGACCATCGAGAGTAGCGGCGGGCTGAGTCGTTTTTCTAGGTATTTAATGCGAACGAGCAGTGACCGGGTGTTTGACCAGCCGCCGTTTGGAGATTTCTCGGGCTGAGGGCCTTTTTCGGCCTTAAAATCACTGAGTATATACCAATCTACATTAACTTTGAAACTGTAGAGCTCATGACACGATATTCGGCCTCTGATGATCCTGAAACAATGTGCTGTTTCTTGGTTTTCCAGGAAATTAGTGATCCTCTTAAGAAAATGCAGAATCCAGTGACAGATCTTCTTGTGTCTTTACAAGATGCCCAATCCGCATCACAACATGCACTAAGTACAAAATGGCCGTTATGAGGAAATAAAGTCCATGAGAGGATGTCCCTTTAAAATATCTTAGGACATGCATGGCAGCATCCCTCAGCTGCTGGACTGCATAATTGATGTCAGGCCTAGTGGGGTTGAGATATAGAAGTCTGCCAATATCTCTTCTATATTGATCTGGCTGAGATATGTAGGGCCGCCTTGTTATCACACCTTAATGGAACATGACAAGCAACCAGTACCTTAAAATCACTGATTATATACCCAATCCACATTAACTCTGAAACTGTAGAGCTCATGGCACATTAAAATCACTGAGTATATACCCAATCCACATTAGTACACAACTCGTAGGGTGCTCGTAAGTGATAATAAATTATAGAATCACATTGTAGTCAAATCGAATTTCTGAATAGAATTTTTTAAAATAACACTTATTTTGAAATGAATATAATGCAATTTATTATCATTTACGAGCACCCTACGAGTTGCGTACTTGCGTACTAATTTTAAGTAGACATTTTTTATGTAATTTTACATAATTTAAATTTCTTATAACATTTTCCATAAATTTATATAAGTAAATATGTAAATGTATTATATATTGATTCTATATTTGTAATTTATAAAAATTATTTAATGAATAATTTTAATTTATAAATATTAATTAATACTTTTTACCCATAGATTCGTACTAGTAATAATTTAACCGCTAAAAAAATTTAGAAGCAAACAATTAAGTGGAATTCATGTTAAACTCTAGATAATGGGCTAAGAGGTACAAAAAAATAAGCCCAAGCTACTAACCAATAAAATATGCCCCAAATGAAGCCCATCACTAATCTAGGGTTTCGCCTCATTCTCCTTTAAATGCTCTCTTCGTGCAGCCATAACCGCACACCCCCCTCTCTCTATAGCCTCTACATCTCTCACACGCACACTACGCCCGCCTGAACCTCGATTTCTATTTCTATATCATCACCGACGAGGCCACCGGAAAGAAGAAGCTGAAGGTGAACGCCTGGTTTAGCAGCCGGGTAACAACCGTCGCAATTCGCACGGCGCTCAGCCACGTCACTAACCTGATCAACGGCGTCAGGAGGGTTACCGTTACAAGATGCATTTCGTGTACACACGCGCCGCCTGTTAATCCGAACAGCAATCGAGATATACAGATAAACAGAGGCTCTGTTCCACACGCTCCGCCTGTTCATCGTTTGTGGGAACTGGAAATTTTGGATGCCCATTTCAGCATCCTATCGCAGCGGGTGCGGACGGTCCTGCCGTACGTGGAGGAGAAGTGTCACATCCGCCAGCACGCACCTCATCGAGACCTACCCCTCCCTGCAGCCCAAGACCGCCGTCTTCACCCACAACGACGGTCAACCTCCTCCAGGCCACGGCACCGTCCCAATCTTCTTCCAGGGCGTCACCTACAACATCCCCGTCATCATGTGGCTCATGGATTCTTCCCCAGAAGAGAGGGCCATTCATATGCAAGCTGAGGTTGCTAGTATGGCTTCTAGGGCTTTCACAACATTGCTCATTAAGTTGAGTTGAGGTCTGTTTTTATGTTGCCATTTTTCCTTATTTTTTTATGTTGCTGTTTTGGTGTGGTGAAATGGCTAGATAAGTATATTCTCTGTACTTGGGTTAATTTCAGCCTCGTGTATGCATTTTGCTGCTTCTCTTTTGGTATTGGTAGAAAACAGGATTCCCTTCATTGAATTGACTTTTTGATTCAATCCAAATTTCCTAAGTTTCCACTCTAGAGCCAAGTCATTCCAAAATTTTCTGATATTTATGAAGATCAGATTGAAACCATTGAAAACACTACTGCAATTGGGATGATAGCGAATTCCGCATTTCTTAAGAATCATTAAGGCAGGCCAGGTGTAAAGCATTATCGTTGTACAGGTAGGGCTTCTTGACAGGATGAGGGATGCGCCACCCCTGTGTGGCGGCTGCGCCAGGTGGTTGATGCTATGGCGGTTGAGATGCATGCGGGCTTCGCCTCCGAAGGTGGGTCAAAGCTGAAGATGCTTCTCACCTATATCTGCGACCTCCCTACTGGGTAAGGCCTTGCTGCTTCAGATTTGGTGTGTGTGTGTGTGGGCGAACATCTATTGCATGTATGATTTAATTGTCTTGGGGTTGGTTTTAGTCCAAGTTTGTACTTATATGTGCAGCAGTTGGGAGGTGAATGTTGTTTCATTGGTGGCATTCATTTGGTTGATTGTTTAGGATTGGGTGGATGAAGTTGTAATTAAATGTTTTTGTGTAGTTTGAGGTTGAATTGCTTATATGAGTTGCTACTAGTGTTTGAAATTGGCGTGTTTTTTTTTTGGTAATTAGGTAATTCATTAATTTACTGCCTTGGTGTAATTGGCGTGTTTCCAATCGCCGAAAATGAGGTGTCGCATTAATGATAATATTTGTTGTGTTTTCCCGTCTTTCCACCTTCCTTCCATGCGATTACTTTTTTCATTATAACTTTAGATAATCAATATCAAGATTACAGGTTGTTTAGTCTACATTTTATGTATGAGTACTAGTCAAATTTGGTGTTATCTTCTTTTGAATTGCTGTCCCGAGTTTCTGTGTGTTTTTTCAATGGCAAGCAATATCGTCTTCTTGATTATTAGATACTCTGCTGTGACAAAAATATATAGTTATCCAATTACCACAAGTTGTTACTCATAGATCGAATGTGTTGCTTTGAGTTGTTATGATATACTTGGATTCGTATGATTCAGCTGGTAACCATGATTGTGTAAATGCTTTGAGATTCTGGACTTGTAATTCAGGATCAGTTTCCATATCTGTGTTGCTTATTCTTTTACGTTTTCAGAAATTTTTGTTCAATGTAGCGAGACTTTTAGATTCTTTATCAGGTTCCAAGTATTATCTCTTTACCGATTGTAGCAAACATGCTGTTCCAGGAACGAAAAGGGGATTTATTATGCTCTAGATCTCGGCGGTACCGATTTCCGGGTTTTGCGAGTAAAGTTAGGTGGCCAAAGGTCAACTACCATAATTCATGATGTCGAACGACAGTCCATCCCTCAAATTTGATGACCGGCACAAGTGAGGTAGCTGATTCTTGTGCATTTTGGCTTCTCAGATGTGGCACTTCCTGGACTAAAAAATATAATTGATTAATATTTCATTACATTTCCATTTCCAGGAGCTTTTATATTATATTGCAACATCATTGAAGGAATTTTCCTCTTGCTCTTTTCATGTCATTCGATGATTTGCTTTTCTTGACTTTCTTTGCTCCCATTGAATCTGCATATGAATACATATTTTGTATTTACATATTTTTTTCATAAGTCACAGTAATAAAGACAAGAAAAGATTAATTTTGTTAAGATATCTTTATTAATTGATATAATGATGCATTAGTGTCATTGGGGTGGGTGAGGGCGCCTAAGTAATGGACTACTGTGTTTATTTCAGGTTGGTAGGGATGTTGCTCTGGAAGCACAGAACTTTGTTTCTATCCCACGTACCACATTTTTTTATTTGTTTTTCATTATATAAAATCATCATTGCTTCTCTTAATTTTATTTTTGACATCTCAATTATGTATTGAAGTTTATGCAATACTTGCCAATATTTGTAATTTGTATTAGAAGTGTCTCATTATCTTAATATTGTTTCAAGCATCTATAATTGAATATTTAACATTACTTTGTATACCATTTCTATGCCCTCTTATCTGTTCTGAGGGAAAGAACTGAGGCCATGAGTTCAATATAATACTGACTAATGCTAGCAAGCTTACCATTTTGTTTAAGTTGCTAAAATGTTCATGATTTCCTTTGTTATGCTGGCCGTACTTGTTTCTTTTGTGTTTATTCAGGCTGTTAAAATTTTTTGTGTTTATTGTGGTCATTAATACATGAATAAAGTTTACTGTTTGTCAAATAGTTGATACTGTCTTCTCCAATTGCCTTTGTCTCTGGAGCTATTAGATGGGTTGCAGTACTTGCAGTCACATGATTCAAATATTTTCTTGTTTAAGCAGATAAATGATACTGTGGGGACCTTGGCTTTAGGTCATTATCATGATGAAGACACAGTGGTTCAGGTTTCATGTTTCGGGGTTTAGGTTTCGGGGTTCAGGGTTCTGGGTTCCGAGGTTCCAGGGTTCAGGGTTCAGGGTTTAGGGTTTAGGGTTCAGGGTTCAGGGTTTAGGGTTTAGGGTTTAGGGTTCAGG